TTAATTTTCCTGCAAAATTTGCCTTTATCCACCTTCTATTTTTCATATTCCTCGTTCCATCATAATCTCGTCCTGAAAATTTTTCTTCCTCCATCATCGCACAAATGTAAATAATAAAATTCGAATCGAATCACCATTTGAAATTCTTACAATTTCGTTCCTCGAGATATTTCTCTTAAACTCGTACACGTGTCGAGAACGTAAACAAAACACGCGAGAAACATGCACGAAACACGTGGAAATTATTGAAATTGTATCGAAACGATTATTATTATCCGATTCATGCTCTATCGTTCCGCGCAAATTTTCCAAGAACCCATTTCCATGTATCCGATTTTTCGAAACAGAAAACCAGGTCGCGATCGAGTAGCTCCACTGACGATGAATGAAAGTCTTTCCATTCGAGTTGGACGTGAGCCAAATGTGAATCGACGAAAACGAAAGAAGGGAGCTATTTTGAATGAAAATAGGAGAGGGATCGCAGATTGGAGAGAAAGAGAGAGAAAGAGAGAGAGAGAGAGAGAGAGAGAGAGGGGCAGTGCAGTGGTCTGTTCGACGTTTTATTTCAACCGAAAGGGGTAAAGACGTGTACCTCTTTTTTTCCTGACCCTACAGTTGACCCGACGATAATATCGTCGAATGCATTTGCATTAATTCGGCCCTAAGCCTATTTAAATGCAGCCGAATCGAGGTTGTATCGAGGAACTTCAAGAAAGAAGCGAATTAACGGATAAATCGATTTCTAAGAATAGAATATAATTATTTTGTTAATGTATAATATAATTTTTAATGTGATATTTTGATAGATCTGTGATGATAGTTTGAGGATTTTTGTTGAAGTAATTTTAAATGCGTTATCTTGAGTATTGTTTGAAAGTTGAATCGATTTGGAAATTTAGAATGTATCAAATTTCTTGTGGGATATAGTTTTCCAATTTAAAAATATTAGTCCAAGTTTGTTATAACGTAAAAATAAATCTTAAAATTTTACATTATTTTACATCAAAAAAATCATTCTCCCTTGATTCTCTAACAATTCAATATATTTCCACGATTCCATTATTTACTTTGTTTTGTTTCATTAAAATTTTTTAATTGAAAAGAGACTTGATAATTGTAACAGACTTATCTCATTTCCTTCTAAAACAATTCTTCGAGTTTCCAGAAAAAAAAGAAGAATCGAATACTTTTTAATATATAACAAATTGTTCCATGAAATAATCTCTATGAAAAAAAAAAAAAAAAGACAGCACGTGTTGCAAACATGATAAGCCAAAAATGTATGTATTAATCAATTTCGTGCTAATAACAACGATTTACCGGCTAGTCAATCGACAATAATTCGCAATTTTATCACGCGTAATTAAATATACAATATACACACACAGAAATTTTTGAATCTATATATCAAAATACGAAATATTTAGAAAATTTCTACCAATAATAGTTCTTAATATAAACTTTATCTAATCAATCAAAGATTAGAAAAAAAATATCATTAGATTGACAATTATCATAATGTTCTAGAAATGAGTCACTAAGAATGAGTAAAACAAAGTAAGTAACAGAATAAATTTCCTTCGATTAATTTGCACACAATCAATCGATGATAGTTATTGCAACTATTTAAATCACGCACTTGTGAATATTAATTATTTCTATTATCATCTTCAAATATAACGAAATATTATAATTAATAAGTTTCTTACTAAAAAAGAAAAAAAAGAAATTTAAATTTATATTTTGCAAAAACTTCTTGTCAATTTATACATTTTGAATGATCCCATATATTATTGCTATAAATTTAAAAATAATTTAAATTTATTATATTAATTTTGCAAAAAGTAAACACTATTCTCGTATTTTAACTTGCACCTCTTGCTATCATTTTTTACAAAACCTCACTTAACAACTTTTAACAATTATCTAAAACTTATCTTTCCACATAGATATCTACTACTCTACTCACGTCTCTTTCGACTTACACTCTCTTCTTGTAGAACAAATTAATATATAATCAAGTATGACTAATATATGACTATATTTCTAATCATCTAATCATCAATTTTCTATTGATTTATACATTTTGAAGGATCCGTGCATTATCATTCGAAATATTCGAATTGAATCGAATTTGTAAGACGATTACTCTTAAGGCTAAAATTGATTTGCATTCGGAATTCGTTCGACAAACCCGATTGAGGATCGAGCAAGGGCTAAGAAGAAATTTTCGAGAATGGAAAGAAGGGTCGAAAAGCTGGATGATTCACAGATTCTCCTGTATAATTTCCTCGATCGGACCTACACCAATGAAATTCGTCCAGGATTCGTCGACACCCATTGTTCTGATCTTCGTATAATGAAATTCGATTGCTCTTTGTTCCAATCTTGGATGATTATAATGCAGTCTTCGAAATACAAGGTTTTTAAACGATTGATCAACCAAAGGATCAATGTTTTCTTTCTTCCATTGTGTAGTTGTCGATGAGTGTAAAAGTTCAAAAATGATTTGTCAGGAAGGATTCAAGGATAATCAAGAGTAATCGAATTACATTTATATCATGAACAAAAATCTGTATGATTCTGACAAGTAAAAGATAAAAGGAAATATTACGTTTCGAATAATAATTTGATCAATCGTTTAATTTAATTTTATTTATTTCTATCTCTATATTTCTACCATCTTTTCTCATATTTTTACAATTTTACCTAACCTATCAGGCACAAGTTAATTAATGTATTACGTATATTCTTCTAATTTAGAAAAGAATTTTTTAAACAAACAAATAGATCTCGTTATCCAAGTAAAAGCATAGGAATCGTGTAACGAAATCAAGTAAAGGAGTTGTTTAAAAAACAGGTTTTCGAAAGTGTGCTCACCAGGAGATCACTGTTTTGCGTGAATATTACGCGACAAAGCAAAACCACCGTGCATCGTGTCCATTCAATTGAATATTACAACAACTCCATGTTTCACAAGGTTTGCATAAATTATATCACCTCGATTGGAAGAAACGTGAAAGCAGGATGAGAGGGGAGGGGGAAACGAGAAAAGAGGCAAAATTCAGGAAATTTTATTATAATATGAAACTAGAATAGGAAAAGAAATCAAGTTTGTTACAAGTGAGGGTTACCTTAAATCATATTGTTTGCCTCGAAAATTATTTTCAGAAACGTTTCGGATAACTTGGCATCGTCGAATCATTTATTCATGAGTACCGTGTGCGTAATGCACATTTGTACCATTGCTAGCGGAAGAAACAACGTAATTTTTTAAGGAAAACTTGTACAGGAGTGTAACAATATTCTTTAAATTGATGAAGCGTTCAATAAGTTTTTGAATATTTCATTCAGACTGATTTATGAAAATATAATTATAATGAGATAATTCGAAAATTGAAAAAGAAATTGAAAAAGCTAAGGAAGGAAAATTGAAATGTTCAAATAAAATAGAAATTGTTGCAAGAGAAATTATAAACTTGTTAAAAAATTAATAATTGTCATTATGTCACAGTGTTATTGCAGTTATGCGAAAAAGAAAAAAGAAAACATAACGATCGACACGATTGCAAATGGAAAATCGTTTTTCTTTCTTAACAAAAGAAAAGGGACAATGGTGTGCCTTGCGCTATTATGGAATACGGAAATGCATATCGTATTCTGCGATCGATCAAGATAAATATCAAACTGCAACTTGCACAAAGACAAAAGTGTTTTAAACGATCGGCGTATTTTAATAAAATTTTGATTATTCCTTTCAGAGATTAAAATTTTCTTAATAACATTTAAATTATTGATGAAATTATTCAGCCACAAGATTATTATATGCAACCTGATGATTCTCTTTTTTGACAATGAATCAGACAGTTCCGCATATACTTTTTATTTCAAAAGCATTTCCGGTTAAAAGAATGGAACCACTTGGCTGGCTTTCGAGATGTCTCTATTCGCGTTTACGAATAATAAACGATATTTTAATTAGTAATATTAATTAATGCTCCGTCCAATAACTTAGCTAGGAATATTGATTTGTTCTAGTTGTCAATTTCTAACAATAATTAAATTATAATTCTGTTTGAAACGAAAAACATAAATTAATTTCAAATTTCAAGACGAAAGATCAATCAAAAATTAAAACAAAAGAAAACAAATCGAAACCTTATCGATAAATCTTTGTAAAACAAAAATAAACTTACTATTATTTCTAATCAATCTAAAGAAATAATCATATTCTCGATATCATAAGCAAAAATTCAATAAACGAATTTTAAAAACTATATTTATTAAATTTCAAATCTCGAAACACTATATAACACTATATTCTACTACCGAAATTGAACTATCGTTACTCGAATCACAATCACGTGCTACCACGAACAATAGACACTTCACAAACGAGCAAAAAGAAAAAAACCAATACCCTTCCCTCCGAAACCGCAATCACGCTTTGCACGCATCCAAAGATCCCGCATCGGATCCCTGACCCAACTCAAACTCGTCATCGCCGCGATTCCCAATCGCAAGGATATTTCCTAGCCACTCCTCTATTCCTACGAACACCGTAGTCGGATCACGCTTACCCATTACACACATGTCCCGAACGATGTCACAACATCTCCTCCACTTCCCTTCCCTATCTACTCTCCTCATCCTACCCCTGGACTACTCCTCGACAGTACGTCCATTCGATATATGAAAAAAAAAAAAAAAAAAAAAAACACCTGATCACGTCCAATCTAACCCTAAACCCTATATCCCTTTATCTATCCTCCTCGTCCAACGCGATCCCATACCGTGTCCAACAGATATCAAAAAAAAAAAAAAGAAAAAAAAAACTCGAGAGGAAACGAAGGGGAGAAAGATAAAACGATCCGTCGCGAAACCGAGCAGACGTGTGCTTGCATTCTACTGCTCGGCCGGTGATGGTGGTAGTCAGCAGCCGCGTGGTGGGAGGCCTCAATAAAAGTCAGTGGCAGACTGATTGTAATTCAGAGTGGCGGTAGACTCCGGTACCAGTTCCCCGTACGGCCGCGTTCCTTTCCTCTCCGTGTTTCCTCTCTTCGCTTTTTTTCTCTCTCTCACTCACTCTCTCTCTCTCTCTCTCTCTTTTCGTTCGTCTCCTGTTCCGCGCGGTGTCTCGATCCCTTCGATCGCTTCTCCCTTCTTCAAGAATTTTCGTGATCTCTCGATATCTTTGGATAATTTCGAAGAAGAGGAGGAGAAGAAGGAGGAGAAGGAGAAGGAGGAGGAGGAGGAGATCGAAGAGGAGACGTTCGGTTCTCGAAGAGCTGTGCGTGCCTCTGCGTGTCCGCTATACGAGTACGAGGACTACTCACGAGGGATTCTTTGGGGGAGAAAGAGGTGGCTGCGAGCAGGTTGGGGAACACGCGAAATCGATAGTGTCGTGGCAACGACGTTTCACACTGACCCTGTCCACCTGGCGAGCCGCTACGAGGCGGGAGTTGGGACGAGGCTTGGGAACAGGCCGATCTCGATCGTTTTCCCGCGCGGAAATTTCTCGCCCGGAAGTTGGGGGAGAGAGTGGTCGAATCGTTTCGAGGGGAGGAAGATAGTTCTTTTTAAAGGAGGAGGAAGAATCTGGGTGAAGGATCGAGAGAATCACGTGAGTCTGATTCTGCGATCAGAGCTGGACGATCTACGGAACACGTGTGTGCAGTCAGTGTCAGAGGGGTGAAGGGACGTTCCGAGGGCCGAGTCTTTGTGAGGATAGATTTCATCTGGTGATCGCCTGATAGGCAACGCAGCAGTTGTTTTTTTTGGGTTTACTTGGAATAATTGATTGACGGGATGATGGCCAGGTGGAATGGTACTTTAAGCTGGAAAAGATGTGCCGGAAGTTGTGCCCTGTTGGCGACACTGTTCGTCGTTTCGCGGGCCGAGGAGGAGGAGAAGGTTGGCATATCGCAGACCGCGGCAATGGTAAGCATTTATTATGAGCAATTTTCGCTTTTTCTTTTTTCTTTCTCTCTCTCTCTCTCTCTCTCTCTCTCTCTCGCTTTTTAAGAGAACGATTAGAATTTAAAAGGTAAAGTTTGTGATGTAGATTTTTAGAACGATTTTAGAAGAGATCTAGGAAGTAATAATTGTACGTTGTTGATTTAATGATTAGTTTGATAAGTACGATGGTAGGTATTGACATGTGAGTATGTAACATTATATTACTCTTCACAAGGTTGATAAAGAAATCTGTATCAATTTGGCTCAGTGATGAAGTTTTAATAAAATCTTTCGTTAAAAGTGTATCTAGTATCTAGTATCTCTAAAATAATTAGTAGATTGTTTGCTCACCTATAAAGATAACAAAATATACAAAATAACCTATAATTCTTATTTGTACTCACAAAAATTCATGGTGAATATTAATCATACGATACAATCATACGAAATACAGAGAATTCTCTATGCGATTCAATTCATTAAATTCAGTAAAGTATCGCAAAAATTCTCTATTCGAATGACAATGGCCAGTGATGAGTAAAATCATGTTACACAATCGTTGATATCATGCGATCGGAAGCGAATTTTCACGATTGTTCGTGGAAAATGACACGTTTCGAGGGAATGCAACAAGTTCCAGCTGTTGGAGATCGAGAGGAAAATATCTGAATGGAAACGATTATTCGAATCGGGAAAATTGATTCGCGCGAAATCTGTCACGATACGTGTGTGTCACGCGTGAATGAGTAATGGTCGTATACACCGTTTTCTTTTGACAAACGCGAATAACATTCTGGAGGAAACGTTTTATCTCTACGATACTGATATACAGATTACGATCGAGACCAGGCTCATATCTCGAGCACGACTTAGATTAGAAACAATTTTCCTAGTTTATTAGAATATTGCATTTAGAAAATTTTCTTCGTTGTTCGTTCTTTTTTTTTTTATATTCTTTTTACAATTTTATTTCGTTTGAACAATGTTCTTTGACGTTTTCTTAGAATTTAAACGAATTTGAATTTTGAATTGTTGATAAAATTTGTTTGAATATTTTTCGTTACTATTATTTTCTTTTGATGCATCGATGCATGATCTTTTATTTTAATTAATTTCAATTATTTTATTATTGTTTATTATTGCTATACTTTTTGCTAATACTCACCAAAGTCAATTTTATCTTATCGCTATAATCAGTAGAAAAATTCTTTTAAACATTGTCTATTCAATCCTATTCAAGATATCTATTTAATTATCATTATTTCTACGATTAATTTCAAAATTCAACAATTCTTGTAAAATTATTATTGTCTTTCACACTTTTTCATGTCACTACCATTATTTTATCTTATCAATATTTAATATCACGTATATCCAAATAACAATATTCTCACTTGCAACTTATCTTTCCCCAAACAAAACTATTTCCAACGAATTCATTCAATGAATTCTTCCTCATTGTCTCCAATTGTACAATTGCACAATATCATATGCAACAACATCACGAACCGTATGAAGTCGGATAGAAACTATGCTAACCAGAACCGAAGGAATATCATGAATAATTTTATCTATCTATTCGAGGTATCCTCGAAGGAACTCGATGTATAAAAGAGGAAAAGCAGAGACCGGTTTCCTACGTAATGACATAAGGACAATGTGACGTCACTTGGCTACCTTCGCTGACAAAGTTCAGGTTGGCGCGATGACTCGTTCCTAACCTTCGATTCATAGTACTGTGCTAATGCTATATACCCGTTTCAACAGGAAATTCGAAATTTTCTGCAACTCCAATCCAAAGTTTTGAAGTTCTTTTGTTGCCTCTTTTACAGAGTTTATCCTAGTTTTTTCTTTTCTAACATTGTTGAACGAGTGATTAAATTCGTTTCTTTTTGATCCACGATGTTGATCACAGTGAATGAACAAATGTGTACATTTATTAGTTGATGTATGTATGTACTGATAGCTAATAAATGGATTTATGATAAATGTTTTTGTGTAATTGATATTGCTTGAATATATTGGCTGATTATAGTGTACACATTAATTTCAAGTTTTTTATTGTCATTCATGAAGATATCATTATCATAAACATTTTTCATAGGGAAATTTAAAGATAAATTAAAAATGATTGACCTTTCATATTCCTGATGCAGAATTCGAAGCTACATTCAAACTGCATTCAATACTTGCCTATAACTTGATAACAAGATTCATAGACAAATTTTATATAACATTTTTCCTATATTTTCAAATAATTACAAATAATAATAAAATTGTAACAAGAATCTAAAAACAAAGGAACAATTATTAAATTTCGAGTGATGATAGAACAATTTGAACTTCTCATTCTTAAGTCGATATTAATGTTAAAGCATCGAATGTTAATATTGACTATCTACTTTTTAAACAAAATTTCCTAAGAAGATACAGTTTGAAAGTGCAAGATAAGATAATTTTATTCTACAAAAATATCATGTATTTTATTTCCTTTAATAATTTAGATTAATGAAACAATACGTAATTTTTATTATGAAATTATATGTTTTTATATGATAGAAATATATATCAATAGACAATATATATTTCTATCATAAAAATATTCCAAAAATATTCCTCCTCTTTTATTAAGAAATATATCTCAGAAAAAGAAAATAGAAAGTTCTATATTACAAAAAAAAAAATGACACAATAGATTATATACTACATAACATACAATTAAAAATAATTTATCTGTAAAATTGTTCTATAAATCTATCCAAAAAAAAATCTCCTCAATTTCCAAATTTATTTTTCAATGAAACTTCACTTATATCTAACTACAAAAATTCCAAACAATATCGTCAATCCAATTCCAATAAAGATTTTCTCTATTAAGATTCGCATTTTTTTTCATAATTAACAACAAAGATAAGACTGATAATAACACCTTGGCCGAACGACGGTCATTGAAATCGCGAAGAAGACGATTTAAGAAGACGATTTCGTGCTTAAGCAATCTAAAAACACGATAACGATAATTATCTATCCCGATAAATATAAGTGCGAGAAAGTTTATCTCCAAGGTTCGCAACGTGTTAAGAATCTCACGCTCTTAATTACGTTTCATTGATTTTTGTTAAAAATTAATCGATGCATGCACCGATTAATTGGAGGAAGCTTGTCGAATCGAAATTTCGTAAAACCACGTGTTTTCCGTATAAAATAAAAATAAAACGATTAAATGATTAATAAGAAAAAAAAGATACGATGAAATATTTCTGATAATAAAATTCCCAGCACATTTATAGGATTTAATTAGGAATTTTTAAGACTTTCTGTATAATCAATTATTAGTCATTATCAAATTATTAGATAATAAATTTTTTTATACGATACTATTAAGATAAATGATAAATGAAATGGAATTTTGCAAGCAAATTTTACGAATTTTACGTAAACGAGTGAAACATTGCATAAAATTTAGAAGATATGATCTTATAATTTTTTATCGAATCACAAATGCGATATCATTCATATTGCAAGAAGATGTTATTCTTTCATAGAATGACAAAATTGTCATTTCACATGTATGTCCAACTCTATGTTATGATTGTCTTTGTTTGATTATACAATATAGGATAATTGAATAACCTGTCAAAGGAAGTTTGTCGTGTGAAAGGGATGAATGGTGGAATTTCGATAAAATTGTGAAACGATCCTTTTGTTGCTTACTAGTTGAATGAAATGAAAAAAAAAAGAATATGGGAAACCATGCAAATCGATATTTGTTTATTTTACAAGCATTTCTTGCTTAATTTTTAATCAATAAAAATAAGAGGGAAAAATAATATTTATAATTCTTATTAAAGAAAAAAAACGAATAACTATTAGAATTGTATTGTTGGCGTGATGAAAAATTTATCGTTATTTCGATTATTTCATCGAAAAAGAAACACGTGCGAAGTTTTTCGGATATTTCGATCGAAACAATCTAATGTCAAACATCTATTTTTATTCAAATTACAGCGACGCGAAGGAAAACTAGGCTAACCGATTGTTGCAAGTAGTAAGAGTCAGGAACATAGGCAGTGGAATCATACTTACTTCAATCAGACGCATCATGATACGCATATTTCACTCTTTATAACCCCCTTGCCAATTTCCTTGTTAAAAAATTATATTACTTGCAACAATTTTTTCAATATAACGATGAAATTCGCACAAATTTCGATCGAATATAATTAAAATAAATTATTATAATTAAAATAAATTATTATAATTAAAATAAATTATTATTTTTATTATTATTTATTTTTTTATACATGTACTTAACCTTTTCGGATATTATTAATTATAACGTGTCTTTATAATCTCAAAAAATATGTTTCGAAAATAAATATTAAATATTCCTCCCTCTTATATATATTTTAAAAACACGATTAATTTTAATCTCAACGACAAGACACAAAAATTATAAAATCTTGTCGTGACAAGCTTCCCTCCATATTTAGACCGTATAAACATAATCCAGGAAGAAATGCTATTGCCCCTGATACCGCTAATTTATTCAATAATTATTATAGTACTATACGACGGTGTAACCGTGATACGTCACTCGACACGTACGACGTAATACTTTGTACTACGAACGTAATTGACACGAATTTATGTTCCTGGCAACGTGCCAAGTCAAACAAGCATGATCGAACACACTTTCGCGACACGATGTTGTAGTAGAAAATTTTAGAGGCGCCAGGTATATTCTTACGTGTATAGAGATTGCTATCGTAATCCAGAATGGAATTAATTATTCGAGGAAATAACGGTCGCTTATTATTCTACGTAATGGAGATCGTCGATCTTTTTTTATAAATAATTGTGAAACAAGGATATTATAGAATTTTTGTGAAGTTATGGGATATTTCTTGTATTTTAGGTAATAGAATTTATTTTTTCTGATCAATTTTAAACTCTAACAAATTTGATAAATTTGGATAGAA